TGGAATTATAAAGAATCCTTTCTGTGGAGAATAGATGCAATACATCTGGAGAGCAACAGGAAGCGGAAGGCTTCTTAGCTAATGCCATATTAGATGGACCAATAGCTTGACTTAGTAGATGACAGTCAATTCCTAGGTTCCAGCCCCACCCTCTTCCAGGATACTCTATTTCATTCATTCCATTCATTCATTCATTCATTCATTCATTCATTCATTCATTCATTCATTCATTCAATTTCTGTAGTCGCCCATCTCAATCCAAGTGACTCTGGACAGCTATTCCACCTCCATTTCTCTTTTTCCCTCCAAGTTCAGCTTTCCACTGCTGCTTAAACTCAGTCTTTTTTGAAGCATTTTAGGAGGTTCCCCCAGAGATGTATTTTTATAATGACTCTGCATACTCTAGATTTTCCTTATAAAACTAGTGCCCCTCTCTTATTCCTCAGCAAATCCATTGTAGCTGAATTATCACTGAGAATTTGTACTGGCTGGAGGGAGGGATACCAAGTGTTGCTTTGCTTCTAAAACACGGGAAAAAGTTTGAAATTCTTGGGAGTATAAAAAGATGTCATCACATCCCATTTTCTTGAAAAGAACTGCCTTCTGATTTAGCACACAATAGATGGAAGGTTAGGTCTTGGGATGAGGCCCAGGCTTTATGGGGGTTGGAGGTGACTGCTTCAGCGACTGCTCTTTGTTTCATTCCAGTCTATAAAGGTTACCTGGAAAAAACTGAGCAGAAAGGCACGTACATCTACTACTTCATGAAGATTGTGGAAGTCATCAAGGAAGGTAAGCATATTTGCACTGGAGTTCTCTCTGAGTGGCTAGCCATCCCATAGGTCTTGTCTTTTTTGTTTGAACAAAAGGTATTCCACAGCTTTAACACACCAGGCCCAAATTCAGGACATGGCAAAACGCCATGGCCACCACAAGAAATGGTTTCTACTTACAGCCAAGGAGAAATGACCACCACCACTGGCAACCCAATAGCATATTGGAATCCTAGACAGGGAGGGGACATCCAGAGGAAGAAATGGTGAACTGAAGATAGTTCCGTGAAAAGCAGAGCTGATGACTGTGGCAAAAAACGAACAGCCAGTGAGTAGACTGGCTCTTCGGAACCCCTCTGGACAAGGGGAAGATGGCAGATTACCCACATATGTTCTAAACAGTTGCTTCTCACAAGAAGATCACAAGACAGTGGTCCCTGGTGGGCTTTGAACACTAGGAGATGACAGGAATAACCATCTTGCTTGCAACTGCGGTCAGCACCTTTTAAAGGACCCTAAGTTCACAAACTTCCTTTTCTAATCACATTCGGAAATTGCTTGTTAACTACTTTTAAGCTATTAGAGACCTTTGGATCAACAAGTCTGAAAATGCCGCGTAAGTTTGCCTTCAATTCTTAAAGAAAAAAAAATTAATTATACGATTAAGAACTTAAAAAAATTGAAATAACCAGCAAAAAGCTAAATAAGATTTTGATCTTAGAAAGTTATAAATGGATTAAGGGCCCAGATAAATTTGGAATAAGATTTTGGAATTATAAAGAATCCTTTCTGTGGAGAATAGATTTGCTTGGACTTTTGCAAGACAAAATAAAGGTAAGTATTTTAAAAAACTGGACACTAGAGGGAAATAAAGATTTTAGTTAAAGGAGAAAAATACACAAGCCTGATTAACAGCTAATTAACTGGTACTTATAAAATGATTCAAAACGTTATAACATTGAAAATACTGAAGGACACTTTTGAAAAAATGGAATCAGAAGTTAGTATCAACAACTGATACTATAGCAATAGCAATGTTTGCTTCTATGAATAGACTATGTCCAAAAGATGTTATGGAATAAATGCAGATGAGATACAAGTTTTATTTGAAAAGACAGAGAATGGATCCACAAATAACAGGCTACAAGAATGACATGGAAAAGGATGTTTCACTGGACACAGAAAAGAAACTGGTTGATGCTTTAAAGCTCAAAAGGGAAATACAAATAATAAACCAAGAGAGTGACCTGGATAATTTTTTATATTGGATTTATAAAAGAGGCTTGTTAAAGCTTTGGAGAATCTTGTGAGAAGGGACGAAGTAATGAAAAGAAATAAAATTCTACAACATTATTTGAATGGACTAAAAATTAAGACTATTATAAGTAAAAAGAAGGAATATAAAGTTGTTTTATTTGATCAAGGTTAAAATAAGATATATTGTTATTTCTGGTAACCCTTAATGGACTATCTGCTGACACTAGGACTGAAAAGGTAATGCTTATGGATTTGTCTATAGATAAGAGATGGGATACAGGATGAAAAGATCATTGGCTGTAAACTGAGAGGGGGTGAAGAGTTACAAAAATGTTTATACTTGTTGGGATGAAGATTGGAAGTCACTTTTTAATATATTTCTTTTCTCTTCCTTTACTATATTCTTACTTACTTTTTTCTTTTTTCTACTTTTTCTTCTCCTTTGCACCTGTCCCTTTTTCTTTCTATTCTTCTTTCTTTCTTTTAGTTTGTATTAGATTTTACTATTGTAATTAAAATCCTTAATAAAATTATATTTAAAGAAAGGAATTCGAGATAGGAAGGGGAGGGAAACATATATAAACCACATCACAACTGAATTCCACCCAAACTATATGGAGCTCACCAGTGATACCCCTCTTTTCCTTTCTGCAAGGAGAAGAGCATAGGGTGAAGAAAGGAAGTTAGAGGAAAAGCTAGAGATAAAGGAATATTATACCTGATCAAATAAGCTAAAGACATTAACTGGGAACCAATTGTGTTATGTCTTCTATGATAATTCCTCAGATTCTGTGAACCTGCTCAGCATCAATCTGCCATGATTCCAGCACTGGAATTGGTTTTAATACCACTTTTTCCTTTCAATCTTCCACCGATCTGTTGCAGGAGCGGAACCAGCTGTTCAAGGGAAGATCCGGCAATTCATTAGCCCTTTACTGTGCCAGGGGACCCTGGAGATGCAAGTGGGTAAAGACTACTTGCTCTGGAGCCGCCGAAGCGACATGTGGGACCTCAAAAAAGAGTGAGTATTCCCCAGGAAAGTAGAGTTTCCAATTATATTGACTGGCATTCAAAAGAGCTCCCTGCTTTAAGCATCCTCTGACTTATTATCAAAGGTCTACAACCTGGCTTCTTGGAAAAGTGGTGCAGTCTCACAGTAGCAAAATGCTTTATTTCTGTTCCTCCTCCCTCCCTTGCCCATTGCCCCTTCTCTGTTCTCCTCTGCGTGGATGATGCAGCCATACTGTCTGTAACCCAAGTAGGCTTCCAAAGATGCCTTAAAACTCTATCATTTTACTGCTCTAGAGAACACCTCAAAATAAATTACTCCAAAACAGAAGTACTGGTATTCTCTAGGAAATGCATTAAGGCCCCAACTAAATGGACAATTAATGGGAAACTCATCAAACAGGTCAAATCCTTTAAATATCTAGGTCTCTTTTTTCAATCTTCTACCAGCTAGCTTACTCAAACAAGAGAGCTTCTAGTAAAAGCCCCCAAAGTATCTCTTGCAATTACCAAACTGGCAGGTCAGTTTTGGTAACAATTATGTCCCAGCAGCTATTAAACTGTTCAAAGCCAAAGTTCTTGGTTTGATGCTATATGGTGCTCCATTGTGTATTTATAAGGAGTCTCCTAGTTTAGAAGCAATCCAATCAAAATCCTTGAAAACCTTACTACAAGTTCCTTATTCAATTTCCAATGCCTTAACTGGATTAGAATTAGGCTGCATTTCCTTTGGGGCCCGATTAAGATTTTGTCATCTTAGATTCTGGCTAAAACACGTCTACTGAGGAACTTCCTTAGTTCATGTCACCATGCTGTATAGATTTCCTCTCTCTTTTTTAAAATCCTGCTTTTATTTTTGTCTGTCTGTCTGTCTGTCTGTCTGTCTATCTATCTATCTATCTATCTATCTATCTATCTATCTATCTGGTAGTCCTTGCTTAACAACCGCTTGTTTAGCAACTGTTCGAAGTTACAATGGTGCTAAAAAAAGATGATTTACAACCAGTGCTTGAAATTATGACTGTTGCAGCACCCCCATGGTCATGTGATCACGATCCGAGCATTTGGGAGCCAGCTTGCACTTACGATGGTTACAGTGTCCCAGGGACACGTGATCGCCATTTGCGACCTTCCCAGCCAGCTTCCGGCAAACAAAATCAATGGGGAACCGTGTGATTCACTTAACAACCACAGTGATTTGCTTAAAGACCACTGCAAAAAAGGTTGTAAAATTGGGTCTGGTCATGTGATGACTTGCTTAACCACCACATCACTTAGCAACCTAAATTCTGGTCCCAACTATGGTTGTTAAGTGAGGATTACCTGTATCTATCTATCTATCTCAAGGCAGTGAAGATACCTAATAGTCCCGCCTCCTATTTTCCCCACAACCACCACCCTGTCAGGTGGGTTGGGCTGAAAAAGAGCAACTGGCCCAAAGTCACCCATCTGGCTTTCCTGCCTAAGGCAGGACTAGAACTCACAGTCTCCTGGTTCTAGGCCAGCACCTTAACTACCACACCAAACGGACTCTCTCTTCCAACCTAAGACGACAAATTAATGACAATTTGGCATATTGGAGTTTTACCTTGTCAGCACTACCTGCTTTGGGACTTGATAAAACTCTGGCTTAACTAAAAGAGAAGATTTGGGATCTTGATATCCAAAATGACAGAGCCAAAGTCTCCCATCTCCTTTATAGCACAATTGCTCCTCCTCCCTGGTCTGTCCCTAGATATTTCTATAACATCTTGTATGCTCTACATCGGAGACTATTTACTGTGGCCTGAACTGGGGCGCTGTCTATTAGGGCAACAACCAGTAGATATATAGGCCTCCTGTATGAATGCCAAACTTGTTTCTGTTCAGACTTAGAGGTAGAATCTGTCTCGTGTATACTATTAAAATGTCCATTATATACCCAATGGTGATCAAGTTTAATACTTCCGGCGGGAGGGGGGGGAACAAGCAGAGCAGTAATGTTATGTCACATGTTGAGTGTCTTTATACAACACACTAAGACAGGTATGGCTCTAAGGTTCTTGCCCAAGAGTGCTGTGCCAGATGGTACAGCCACCTTGCCAATTGTGTTCAGGTTTGATGAGTGCCCCAAGTGTGTAGCTTGATCAGAGTTAGAGATGAAACAGAAGGGGTACAAGAAGGCTTTGGTGTCCCTCCATCCCTTTACATCCTTATTTCACCACTCTACATGAGAAGGGTTAAAATAGTCAAGATCGGCAGAATCAGCTATTTTGTGGCCACTGCTGCATCCCATCTCTGTATTCGCTGCCACATAACCATAACTTTGAGTAAGCAACACTTTGACAATCCCACTAAGCAGGTTTGAACGGAAGATGTCACTCTCTACTCATCTCTTTTCCAGCACAGAGGCAGCCTGCAATCATGCTTCCCTGCTTTGCTTCAAACGTGGCATTTCTCAAATTGCACCGGCACAACCCAGGCTGTGCAGTTTCTCTGCTGAAAAAGTCTGGGCAATAGCTGTGCTGCTATTGGTTACTATACAGAGCTGCCAGCATGCTCCCTCCCTTCCAGGCATTGTCCTCCAGAGCCATTTTCAGGATCTTTGCATTTGGGGAGAGGAACATGCCCATGTGAAGCTTGAATCCTGCTGTGCTTTCTATGGCAGATCTCAGACATCTCCAGTCAGAGATGCTCCAAAACATCAGCTGACTGGTACCTGTTTGGTAAAGCAGTGTTTCTTAACCTTGGCAAATTTAAGATGTGTGAATTTCAATTAGAATTGAAGTCCGTGCATCTTAAAGTTGCTAAGGTTGAGAAACACTGGGATGGAGCAAACAATAGTTGGTCAGAGACATCTGACGAACCACTGCCCTTTTCTCCCCCACATCAGTGGACTGATAAAATACTGAACCTTTTTTCTTTCTTTCCCTATCCCACTTTCTCTTTTTTAAAACCAGAGAAGAGTTCTGCCTGTTTCCTCTTTTAGCCCAAGCACAGGAAGAAAGGTGGAACTATGGTGGGTTTTCCCACCAGTAGATGTGCCGGATAGGAAGGTGTGAGGAGGAAACCAACAGAGAGAGGTCATACCAAAGGCCCATCAATGGTAACCATGGTTCCTGAAAGATCCACCCACAGGAAGTGACCGGCACTTGCTTTTACAGCACAGATGAGAGGGATAAATATCAGGAGAATCCACCAATCAGGGGCCATGGTAACAGCCATCCAGACAGTTCACCTGGCCAGCATCCTTGCCATTGTTGAAGAATCCAGTAGATTGAAATCCAGACAGCAATTTCTTAAAGGGGCTTCATTTCCAGATGGTTTTAGTGCAGGAGACAAGCAGCTCAAGGCTGCCATATGGAAAGTCCCTGTGTCTGGAGGCCAAAGGAAGGAATTACCCATACTTTAAATCCCTGCCCTATCCTGGTCAAGTTCTGATGATATTCACAGTCAGGAATCATGTAAATATAACACTATAACAAACCTTGAATACAAATGCATTTTAGGGCCATGGTTCAGACATCATATTACACCATACCTTCGAGTGTTGCAAAAGACCAAGGTCATTTTATCAAAGTTAAACTTACTGGAAAGGAAGTGCAGGAGGGGAGAGAACAGCAGTAACTCTACTTTAGCCTTCTAATGTCTGTTCTGTCTTGAGGCTTTCTAAACTTGCTCTATACAAACCTCTATAATAGCTCTTAGCCATTATAAATAAATTCAAAATCCATAATAACACAATACCTTTTATAAAACAAAGTAAGGTTTGCAAAGTAGTTTACAGACTTCAAGTTTACAAGAGCCTGTAAAGAAGAGAATTAAAAAAAATAAATAAATAAAGGTCAGGAAGAACAGTTGTTGCACTATTGAACTGTTGTGTATAAAATGAGCCATATCAGCTATCAAAGTAGTGTTAAAATGCAGCAAAGACTATGCCAAAGTTTGGTGGGAAGACAAGGCAAATAGTTTAGGTCCCCCCCCCCCCATTTATGAAAACAGGAAGTCTACCTGTTAAAGTAAAACCTGTTTTCACCTTAAGTGAAATTCAAATATTTTTAATAGTTGGAACACAGACAAAAAGAGTAGCTTTTATATAAATGTATTTGAGATAATTCAAGATATTTAACAAGGTTTTTAAAAATCAATACAGTAGCAGTTAAATCAGGTAGAGTGAGTAATAGGATGGAATATTTTCTCAGAGATTAGAGCCCTAGCTTAGCTAGGACTTTATTGTTGAATAGCTAAGCATCTCGGTATGAATGTGATTAGCATCTGCTGTTACAGATGGAGAAAAACTGGTTCTTGATTTAATGTATATTTGTCATTTGTACTGCACTTTGATTTGAAAGCACTTTAGGAATAGCAAATATTACAGCTATCATTTCACGTTTTCCTTCACTGACATCCTGCACACGTTCTACAGCAAGATTCATCTAACTTAAACAGTATTTTCTTCCCCTGCTCAGATTGGTTTTCTTTAGTATGAATAGAGATAATCACCTGGACATGTATACAAATGATAATTTACTGAAGCAAGCATGTTAAGGTTTTTCTGTATTGTCTGAGGATAGTGTTACCATACTTCTGGGCCTGATTGGAAATTTGGAAAAGTAGTCAGCACTGTTTGATAGAACGATAGAAATGCTTAGCTTACCCACTGGTAAACGTTAAAAATAAATTGCAACTTGGGAAACCCTTTGCTTGCAGCATAGACGAATTGTGTCTGGTTACCAAAAATGAATGCAGGTCTGCAGTGAGACAAAATTACCTTGAACAGGCTAATCAGTTTCAACAGAAATTACACAGAAAAACTAATGTACCCCCTCTTTGTCTCAGAATGGCATATCTGCTTACCAGCTACTCCTGGATTGAGCTATGGCCCACCAGCCAAGAATGCCAGCAAGGGACCTTGCAAATCTTGTGCCAAGAGCTTCAAGCCTTCAGTGAACACATGAAAACAACCAGCAGACAAGTGAAAACAACCAGTGGACACATGAAAACAACCAGCTGCACACAATAAAAAAGAGGAGCAGCTGCCTCCTGTACTCTTCTGAGGGACATCAGAAAGTATAATACAGCCACTTCATTGTCATAGCAAAATACTGAACATGCATCATCAGTATGAAATGGAATATGTTTTCAGAATGGTGTCTCCCCAAGCTTGATGTAAATGTGTTTAAAGAGGCTGCAATCCTCAAATTGCAGATGTATTGTGAATTGTATATGAAAAATCTCTAATTGATCACTTTGGGCCAAACCAAAAATGCAGCATCTTTTGCAACTGCTTAGTCTAGTGAAAATAGTTTCCTTCAGGTCAAATTCGACTTATGCATGTAGCTTCTCCGCAGCAACAGAGGAGTGGTTGTCGGGCCACCTTCTGGTTTTTCCTGGTGGTCCAAACCAAATATTAACCAAGGTCAACTCTGTTTAGGTTTTGGAAACTAGCCAAGATTAGGTAGATGCTGCTGTTATATTTTCATTGTAGTCAGCTTCATAGCTAAGCTACTTGCACAATCATTCAGTTTTCTCTAGAGTTGTCTTCATTTGTTCACTTGTCCTTTTTAAAAATAATAAAGTGTAGCTATCAAACTTTTGTTCCAGCATTTTCTGTTTCACCTTCCAGTTTTCTTGACATTTTGGTTGTTGATTTTGCTAGCTTTCCATGGAACTGTAGTATCTTCATTTGCAATATAGGCTACAACGTTTTATTGAGCCAAATAGAAAGAGGGCACCTCTATATAATGGCTTTTCACCAGTTGAGAACTAGCTATGCACTTGGCTGATCGCACATCATCAGCTCTTTTTGAGAACTGAGAATTGAGTCAAACTGGTTCTATAAGGACCAGGTGGCATTTTCTTTGGAATGCTGCAGTTCTGCGGAGCTTTTGGGCATCTCTTCTCACACTGACTGATCTTGTGTCTCACTGTACATCCCAGCTCAAGACAGCCATTGTACTATTTCTCTCCTTCCCTCTGTAAAATTTCAGTTTCTATAGCATCATATCAACATACTATTATTTCACAGGTTTTTTAAATGCTACAGAAGAAGGGTGACTTGGCAGTTTTACAAGGCTCCTCCTAATATCCACTTGGATTTATTTTGTATTCAACCAGTGGATGGACTTTTGCTGACACCAGGACTGAAATAACTAAGTTTTATGGATTTGTTTATAGATAAGAGATAGGATATGGAAGAAGAGATCATTTGTGGTATTTTAAGAGGAGGTAATAAGTTACTAAAATTGTTTATACTTGTTGCAATGAAGATAGGGAGTTACTTCTTTATATATTTATTTTTCTTTACTATATTCTTACTTTTCTTTCTCTTTTCTGCACCTTCTATTCTCTTTTTACTCTTCTTTTAGTTGTATTAGTTTTTTTACTATTGTAAGCATAATCTTTAATAAAATTACTATTAAAAAAAAACAAAATATAGTCAGAAAGTATTAAAGTTGATGAGGATAGGCAGATCTGCAGAAAAACTTCAGCTCCTAATCAACACATTTTTATCAACTGCCATCTCACCCAGCTGCACCAAATGTTCAGAGGCAATTTGTACAGTAAAGAATAACCTATGGTAAATTGAGCTATGAATTAATTCACCACACTCAGCCAAACCAGTCAGCCACATTTTAACCTAGACTGCAGTATAAGAAAAGGAGGCAGAGACAACTTGGCATTAAGATTTAGGGGAAGGAAACAATGTTCAATAACAAAACTAGAAACCTGCCAATAAGGTGGCTATCAAATTTACTAAGCCTTTGCCTATAGAGTTCTTAAGCAGGCCACTTTGGAAACTGATCAGTTTGCATATTTGGAATCCAAAAGCATTCAGGGCAGGCAAAGTCAACAACTTATCATATTGTTCCAAGTTTCGAAGCAATAGCCTTCCTCTGTTTTCTCCTTCAGCAAACAGGGGTCAGAGACAGAGCGCCTCTGAACGTGGAGGTTCCTTTTAGTGGAACCCTAAGATGTGTGGACTTCAACTCCCAGAATTCCCCAGCCAGCCATGGGAGTTGAAGTCCACACATCTTAAAGTTGCTAAGGTTGAGAAACATTGTTTTAGTGGCTCCGTTTATATTCCCTTTCGCTAAATCCTCCCGAGCTAGCCTCCTTGTTCCGCCACTACCCCAGCTTTCAGCAGCCGCGTCTCACGCCTTCCTTTTCTTAACTCTGGGAAGGCGGGGCCAAGGGAGGGCAACCCTGGAGAAGCGAGGACTACAACGCCCGGCGTCCTTCGGGCTGAGGCGGGCTTGCCCGTCCTTGGCAAGGCTGATACCGTGTGCGGGATGGAGAGGAGGGCCCATCCCAGAGCTGAAAGCGGATAAGCAAGCGGCGCAGAGCGCTGAAATATTTGGAGGGTGGCGGGAAGGACTCGGATCCCCCTTTTCCTCGCGTGGTAGTGGCATTTCGGGACTGGGCACAATTTCGCGAGGTAGGTGCTTCGGCTGTTGGAGAAGCGTGCACCGGGCTGGCGCTGGAAGGCTCCCAGCCAGCGAGGCGCCACACTCGCTTTCTCTCCCGCAGGGCACGGCAGGGCTGCGTGAGAACGCGAGCCGATAGCAGAGGGAGCCGCTGCCCGGGATCGGCTTTCTCTCCCAGGATAGAAGCCGCGCGCTCCCATTTCCTGGCCTCATCTCTTCCGCGAGGACATCCGATAATCCCCGCATGACGTGGTCGGCAATAGTCCGTCTGGCCGAGCTAGAGCCCCGGGGTAGTTGATTGCCTGGCGGGAGACTGTTCTTTAAGTGCTGGGGGTTCTGCTGCAAAAGACTGCCTCGCCCACGCCTTTAATACCATTAAAGAGAACCTGTAGCTGTTAAAGTCCGGGAATGAACCTTAATGGGTCCAAGTTCCTATGTTGTTATTCTACCCTGACGTCTTCCGGGTAAATTGGACTTCAACTCCCATAATCCCACAGCCAGCACAATTTATGCCGGCTGGTAGAGAACCATGCAAAACAATTTGCATTTGGAGAACATCGGATTGGGTGGTTATTTCATCCAGAGACACAGGAGCCACTTGAATAAAGAACACAACTCTATGCTCTTGCAGCCCCAAATAATTTTTGGAGTAGTCTGTCCCCTTAAACATGGCTCCTCACCATGACAGTGTACTTGTGCAACATAATTTAACATTTGACACCTCAGGCCACTTTAAAAATAAGTTTGTGGTTTACACTCCCAAATAAACTTGAGCCAAGTTGAAACAACTGAGAAGTATCTTCTACAGTGGGGCACAAGTCATTTCAAGCAGTTTAGTTACATCTCATTGAGTCCTGGTGCTTCCATGGGCAAATGATTACTGTCTTGACCTGTCCAGATTCATGCCACTAATCTCTTTATTTGTTGAATTATACCCTGCCTTTCCTACAGGAACACAAAGCAGCATACATAGCATTCCTCCAATTCATCCCACAACATCCTTTAGAGGCAGGTTGGGCTGAGAGAGAGTGACTGTCCCAAAGCCCCCTAGTAAGGTTCTGCGCTTTCCTCAGGGTGGGCTTCACCATTACACCACATTCCACCCACTTTATTCACTGTCTTCCTCTTCTGTTTCTACAACTTTGGGGCCATGCCTCCCTCTGTCCTCCTTGAAATGCTCCAGCAGTTTTTCCAGCCAAAAATTTTGGTGCTTTCAGGTGCCATGTCCAGTTGGTGTTGTGTTGAAAGCACTGGACTGGAAACAGGGAGAGTCTGGTTCTAGTCCTCCCTCAGGCATGGAATCCAGGTGAGTGATCTCCAGTCAGCCACTCCCTCTCAGCCCAATACTGAGAAGTCAAAAACCATACTGGAAGAAAATAATGGCAAACCACATATATAATCTTGCCAAGGCAATTGCATGGACCTGTCCATGAAGTTACCAGGAATCACATTTGACTTGAAGGCACCAAAGCGACAGCAATAGCTTACTTCCAGAAACTAAAGCACAGGGCTGATTGTAATCCTTGACCTAATCTTAGTCTTCCAAGTTCCATTTGTAATACATGAGACCCAACATTTTTATATTTGCACAAATTGTTCTGCAGGGTAATACGTCCTTGCAACTGTAATTTTGTTTTCCTTTATAATATGTAATATCCATTTTGAAATTATAGAACATTATGAGATGGTCAAATATTCAATTCTGTGCAAGAAATTCTCTAGCAAGATGTCCCCTCACACACACACATACACAATTTGGGTTTCCCTTCAATAGAAACAACTCCCCAGGAAGGGGGATTGCCCAGGCTACAAGGCAAGGATATCTTTCTCCGTGCCTCAGTTTTGGGTAAACCAAAGGCCAAACAGACTGCTGGCCGTGCTGGATTTCTCAAAGCAAGCCATCCTCTTTGATCCCAGTACAGTGTCTCTTGGAATTTAAAGGCATAGAAATTATCATAATATTGTAGTTATCTGAGGCAGATAGATGGTTGGATAGTGACACATAGATAGCTGACATCCCAGTTCTCTTAACAAATAAGATGAATAATTTCATTCCATGATTATATACAGAAGTTAGCCTAGCATGATTTCCTGGGAATGAGGATAGTCATAATTCTGCAGCATCTGAAATTATACCTAATTTGCTCCTCTTTGCATCACAAATAAATTCAAAAACAAGGTAACTATCGTCATAATAATACCTTAGTAAGAGAAGGGAACATAGGTTCTAAGCAGCAAACATGAACTTGAACTTACATAGGGGGTTTTTTGGCCTGTTTAGTTTTATACAATAATTTATACTTCCTACTTGGATGGAAAGTGCCCTGAAAAGATCAAATGCTATATGTTCTAACTGATATTTTATATTACAAAAATACAGAACAGCCAAGTTTGCAACCAGCTGTTTGATAAATATCTCAGCATGGGGCAGCACTTAGGTGGTCTTATCTGGACTCAAAGCTAATCGGGTTTAGACATGCTTAATACTTGGATGGGAGACCATGAAGGAATTCCTGACCTATGAACTAGACTGGACAATTTTTAAAAATCCAATGCAGCAATCACTTTTACGCTGTTTTCAAGAAAATTGCATGGATCTGTCTGTGAGATCCCCAGGAGTTGAGCTCAACTCTAAAAAAAATATTGTTCAAGGTTATCTGAATAAAACTATTATTTTATCTGAACTTTTCCAAAATAAGTTGTCCTTTAAAAAAAATGTTTATTCTTCTATTCTGCTTTCACTGGGTTTGTGGTTCCCGCAGCCAGCAAGACCAATGAGGAGAGAAACAGGGAGCTGTAACATCCAGAGGTCACAGGCTCCCTTCTCCCCTCCCCAGTTCAAAGGACTTCATGTACACTGATTCAGTCATCTTTTTACTAGTTCTGTAAAGTAGATCATTACTATTATGGCCATTTTTAGAGGGGAAGACAGCTGAAAGAGGGAAAGAGCACAGCTGTGGAATTCTTTGCAAAGATGAAGTTTGAGGTGGGGACTTAGTAGTTCACAGGGTTTCCAAACTCTGTCAGTGCAAAGGACTTCAACTCTTTGATCATTTAGCATTTCCTGAGGATTTTCTCCTATTTTGCTTTCCTTTCACAGGCAACAAGATGGCTGTACGAAATGTGCTGGTGACAGGCTGCTCCTCTGGCATTGGGCTGGCCCTGGCAGTGCGTCTGGCAAGAGATGAGCTGAAGCGATTTCGAGGTAAGGCTGCTTGGAGCCAGAAAAGGAAGCACATCAACTTTGGAGAAGAAAAGGAGGCCCTCCCAAACTTGACCAAAGTGATGTCTTATAATTCTTTATCCTTAGTTTTTGCCACCATGAGAAATTTGGAGAAAAGTGAAGCCCTGAAGAAGCAAGCGGGGCCTGCACTGGAGAATATGCTTGAAATCAAAGAACTGGATGTGACCAGTGAGGACTCCATTCGGCGCTGCGTGGACAGCATCCCCCAACGCAGGGTGGATGTGCTGGGTAGGAAAGCAAGCCCTCTCCCCCAGTAAAGTCCTTCTTATTCAGGATGAACAGGATTTGTTTGGGCTATTACTGCACTAGTCTATACAGTCTGAAGTTCCTTTTGCACCAACTGGTCTGGTCACTGCCAGGGCCAGCAATCTGGAACACAATGTCTGAATTAGAGCTGGATCCATCAAGAGCCATCTACCCCAATCTAATATCCTCTAAGTACCTTTGGACTGTGGTTTCCAGGATTTCCAGCTTCCATAGTCACTGGCTGGGGGGGGGGGGGGGGGGGCGGCAACAAGTTGGGGAAGTTGCATCTAAGGCACTTAACTTATTTGCCAACTCCAGATTAAGCTGTTTGGACATATCTATGGACATTTTATGACAGAAAAGTTCTAGACGTAAGACATACTTGGACAAGCAGCCAGGTTATCCTTTTCTCTGTAGAATGGCATTTATGTGGGAACGTTATCATAAATCCAGAATTGGAAGTTCCACCTTCAAAAAAGCAGGTTCAGTGAGGATGTGACAAGTTGTGACCTGTACTGGTGGAGAAGCATATGAACCACTCCTTGGCAATAGGTGGTGTATATTGCTGAGGAACAGGGGGAGCTCTGTGAGCTGCTGTTTGGAAACAACCCTGTCCAGTTGTTTCTCAAAATATAGCAAATGCCCAACAGAACTTCAAGGTGGGCCAGAGTCATCTTTGTTAACAGTTGCTAGAGTTTCAGGACAATGTGTTAGATTATACCGCCATCTCTTCCTCTCCACTGCTGGTTTCATAAGTAGCTGACAAGGATTTGAAATGCTGCTTCCTCCTGTTCCCTCTTGCTAACCTACTGCTCCCTTCCGATGCAGTGAACAATGCAGGATTTGGCATTATTGGTCCAGTGGAAAGCCAGAGCATGGCCTCAATCCAGCGCCTCTTCGACACCAACTTCTTTGGCTTGGTGCGCCTTGTCCAGGAAATATTCCCTGACATGAAGCAGCGAAAGAGGGGGCAGATCGTTGTGATGAGCAGCGTCCTAGGCTTACAAGGTGAAGCTCCTTTGGGAGGGCAGAGGAGGGTGTTGCTGGAGAACCCTCTGGATTGACCCGGAGGATGAGGGTGGGAAGAGTCCTGGAGAATGGAAGCCCCGTTAGCGATGGGACGCTGTGCCAACCGCACCACCTTCTCAGTACAGGCTATTTGTCTGGAACGTGTGAAGCTGGTCTATACCAAGTCATGCTGTTGGTCCATCTTGTCTTCTCTGACAGGTAGCAGCTCTGCAAGGCTGCAGGCAGTGAGACCATTTCCAGTCTTGTCGAGATCCTTTTAACATTAAGCTCCGTCCTTTCTTTGCTACAGAACAAAGAGCTGGAGGCAAGTCACGCAAAGGAACCTAGCAGTACCTTGCAGGGAAAGGGGCTTGCAAGGAAAGGGAAGGGGATCTGAAGCTCTCCCCTCCATAGGCAAAATCGTTCATGACCCTGAGGAGGAATTTAAAAAGCATTCAAGCCAACCCTTTGTGTATTTACTTGGCAACATCCCATTTTACAGGCTTAAATTGGCTGTTTTTCTGGGCTCATGTAAATAAGCTAAATTAATGGGCTGTGTTTGCACAACACATTGAACACAACAAGAGTTAAAACCAATAAAGCTCTGCAAAGTGTACAAATGTAGCTGCTCAGTCTTTAACTGACCTGGTTAAGTAGACTCTGTCACACTGTAAAGGCCTATGTTCACATGACATGGTTCAGTTTATCAAATTTTCCAGATTCTCATGACACATTGAACTGCAGACCGATGACACGTACTAGGTTCATACAACACACTAGGCTAAAAGGTGGTTTGCTGTTTTATGGTTCAGCATCAGTGCAAATCTAGCCAGGGTGGTTCTTTTAATGCAAGCAAGAGCCAATGCCACCCCCAAAGTATGGGATGAGTGGATCCCCACCTTCTGAAGAGGACTGCCCCTTTCACTGGTCCTGCTAGCTAGGTCTTACAAAGTAGCTTGACATACTAAACGATAAGCCCGTGTTGTCTTTCCATGACCACCTCTCTGGGTCTAGAAAAGCTTTACCTGCTTTAATATCTGTATGTTGGGTTAAAGTACAACATAAAACTAAAAGCACAGCAACAGCGCAGGTCAAAGAGGTGGGAACTCTACTACTCAATGCAAAGCAGCTTCAGTTTTGTTTTGGGAAATCTTGTAAGCAACAGTGAAAGAGAACAAACCAGAGGGCAACTCATGTCTATGAGTCATCTTTTTCTTTTCTCCCAATATTTAATTCCCTGCAGGTCTCCTCTTCAATGACATCTACTCTGCCTCCAAATTTGCTGTGGAGGGTTTCTGCGAGAGCTTGGCCCTGCAGGCCTTAAAATTTGGGATCAAGTAAGTACAGCAGGATTGGAACTAGGACAGGTCAGGACTGGGGTTCCCCTGAGAAGGAATTGCAGTTCCTCGTGCATTCTTAGATTAATACAACTCAGGATAGGGGCAGTAAGGGCTAAGTGGGCAAGTACGCAGCTTGAGATTGTGCACAACTGTTGAATCTTTTTTTTCCGCAGCTACTGAAGCTTAGGGCAATTAGATCTGGGCTGCAAGAATCTGTAAAAACACTGGATGGCAGCAAAAGATTAGAGCTTTTATAACTCTTTGTTGTCATCTAGTGGTCCTCTGGATTTTTGCCACCCAGATTTCATAGTCCAGCCAAAGCTCCCTTCAGCTCCGATCACTGAACAGCACACACATCTGCACCCCAGTCGTCCCGAGCTACCCTACTTTACTGACCTGGATTACAATTCTGGACTAGGATTGAGGAACTTCTTATTCAAATCCCTATTCAGCCCATTTCACTGGGTGACGTTGAACTTTCTCAAAGGCTAACATCTGAGTATTGTTGCAAAGAAGCAGGTCTAAGAATAACTTTTTCCAAGTGAGTGCATCCCTTCATGAACACGTGGAAATACCGTTTTTGTCTAGCTCAGCCTCGTTCACATACACTAAGAGATTTTTAGGCTCCCAAGCACTGAGAGAGAGATCTTCTACCTGAGTTTCTTTTAACTGGAGAGTGTTGATTTATGAGGCTGCTTTTAGAAAAGGTAGTTGTGATACATGCTTTTAGGGGTTTTTTTAGCTGTTTTGCATTTCTTTTTTTGGAAATAGAATAGAATTTTCTTCAAAAAAATAATAATGAAGAATTCAGGTTGGGGCAGGCTCATTTTAAATCTGAGTGTTATTTGCTCCTACCTGGTTTAATAAATGTTTAAACCACCCTTTGTCCTTACAAATGATATGCACAAGTAATCCCATAAATGGAAAATGAATTATTAAAGAAAAGCCTGGAAATGAAAGTCTTCCTTTGGATCCATGTCCCTTCATCTGCTGTGAGGCTGGGATTCTAAACATCCCCTCCTCATGGATCACACAGGATGGGCAGAATCTCAAGATGGTTCTTAAGGAAACCTTTTATCTCTCCAGAATGAATTGAAAATATCTTTGACTGGTGGGCCACAAATGGGATCAAGGAATTGTCATTTCTATACATTAAAAGGGTACAAATCTGAACTCTCTAATGATCAACTCCTCTGTTGGTGAGCGTAGTCAGTGAACTTTTTTCTAAGCACTTGGGCTGGAATCCTGGAGGAGTGGGTGGACTGGAAGGCATATTAGCTGAAAAACAGATGGACTTTAAGCATCCTCAATTGGTGCTGAATCCTACAGCATCTGTTTGAAATACGGACCACGAGGGGTGCTATTTGCTGCCTTTGTTGACTTTGTTGCGGTAGCAAAAATGTGAGCTGTTTATAATGAAAGTGATTTGAATGTTATATTGATAATTTATCATTTTATAGTTGTTTTGATTGTAATTTCTTATGCTAGTCACAGATTATAATAAACAATTCACTGGCTGGCTCTTTAAGAGATTTTGCCTGCTATGAACATAAGACCCAGACAGACCTTCTCTGCAAGACTATGGGGCTGAAAGAAAGCTTGAGACACACTTTGTAAGGAAGTTCCTCTAAATCAAAATAGAGATGTGGAAAATGGTTTCAACATTTTTTCTTCATGATAGTTTTTTTAATTGAATTGGGCTAAGAACTCTTGCTTACTAGAGATTATGTTTGATGCAAACAGCTCATGCCTCAGGTTCTAGATCATATCAGTAGGTAGAACCAATAGCAACCATCCTAAAGTAGCTGCTGGAATGCCACAGCACATACTCCTTGCTGGTTCTTGAAGGTGTTAGGAGAGACAAGAGGAAACCCCTCTCTTTCTCCAACAGTTCGTGGGGTCACTCCACTCATCAGTGGAGAGGGAGGGTGCTGATTATTCAATGTTTCTTTCCTTCCACAGAATCAGTTTGATTGAGCCAGGACCAGTGACAACAGAGTTTGAGAGGAAGCTCTATGAAGAGGCAGCGAGCATGGATCTCTCTGGCGTGGATAAAGAGACACTGGATATATTCCACAACTTCTATCTCTCATACTCCAAGGAAGTCTTCGCTGCACTGGGGCAGTCTCCAGAAGAGGTGGCTGAGGTAGGATGATGGCTTTCTCCCTACCTATTTCGGAATAAATGCCCAGTCTCTAATGCTTACTGATGCCTCTGGCAGTGGCCAGGAGCCTTCATTCCTTCTGGTGGCCTGCAGTATTGACTGCCTCCAGAAGGATAATCAAACCAAGGCTCCCAAAGGATAGAAGGGATGTCTTGGCACATTCAGGGGGACCATAATGAAGTATAACTTTTTTTAAAATTACGGGGCAACCCCCAGCTCCCAACTCTGTCAAGTAAAGGATTAGCTTGCTCAGAACCTATTGACAACATTCACACAACATACTGAACTTGCTGTTTCCGAAACTGCACTGGTTATTGGTCAGCTTCTGGCTGCAATTGAAGGTGCTGCTAGTTGTCACCTTTAAAACTATATATAGCTCCAGACTGGGTTATCTAAGGAATCACCTTCTCTTGTATTCATCTGCCATCTGATCAAGTTAAATAGGGCCAATTCCCTCCAGGTCCCATTTATATGAGAATGCCATCTGACAGGGTCTTGGAAATGGGCATTTTCAATCACCATTCCCATACTCTGGAATTTTCTCCCCACAGAGATCCAATCTGGGTTTCAGGAGAGCAGTTAAGATCTGGTAGCTCCATCAAGCACAAGAGAAGGGCGTGCTGTGATCGAAGATTTGAATTTGGCACTAAAGGATTGGGCATACAACTTTCCTATAGTAGGCTAAGAGGCTTATAGTTGGAATTATCATCAGCTTTACCCTTCATATACTCAGGGACTACAATAGCTCTTTTCCGGTCATGACAGATTCTACTGGTTCTATTTTTTGCAATGACGATTGTGTCTAATAATGAAGCCCACCACTCTTATGTTCCATTGGAATGTTATCCTTCACTGTTTTACATTGCTGAAATAGCTTATACACGTCCTTGATGGTCACAGATGCCAATGAACAAGGCCGTCAACTACTTGATATTATCCACTGTATTGCAGGTTCCATACAACTGATCAGAGAAAATGGATTTACCATTTCCCAAACAGTAACTGAGATATAGCAGTTCAGGATCTGAGATAGTGTTCAGAAAGCCCCAGGTAAAAGATTCCAAAAATATTTATAATCTTTAGTTAAGGAAATACTTATAAGAAATGCCCACAGCTCCAAGAACCTCTTTCTTTAGATGCCAAATTGTTTTATATATATTTTTTAATTTATAAGGAGGATGTAGTTGGACAGACTGATGGTATATTTCTCCTCTTAACAGCAGAGCATTCAGCATCAAGCCAGTTTTCAGGCTGTCCGTGCCTCCGTTTCATGAGCTAAAAGATTTAGTTTCCAAACTGAGAGAGTTTTTATTGGCAGGTCTTAGATGTGTTTATAACTAACTTCAAGAAAGTGTTTCCCCTCAGTTATAATTGCTCTTAAGCTTCATACCTTGAAATTATGGTATTGGAGGAAACTGCTGAGTGTAGCTTGGATTGCAAGAACAAATCATTCAATACTGGATGAAATAAAACCAGACAGCTCACTGGAACCACTAACAAGCTAAAGCTTAAATATTTTGGACACATAACAAGGAGGCAAAAGTCACTAGAGGCCAACAGAAGACAAAGTGGCTAGGTACTATCCCTGATAATCATTTGGGTTCATATTTCAGACTTCAGCTCCACATTCAAGCATCTAGTTCTTCCTTTTCTTTATCTTCTCAGAGTGGGAGAGATTCTTGCCATTCACAGTGTCAATCACCTTATTTACGTTCTGCATATTCTGAAACCAATATTTATTTATCATATTTATATAGCCGCCCATGTCACAGACCGTGACTCTTGTTTTGACCCTATGAACAATTGATTCTTCTAGTTCCTCAAGTTTATTATTTGGGGTTTTTTTTTCTCTCTCTCTCTTTCACAGGTAGGCTGCTAGTTAGGGCCTTAAAATTGTATTGGGCAATTTCTGAGCATTAACTAACCATTCTTACTTCCAAATATATTCTACTGAACTTTCTACTGTGGAAGTGGAGTAGAGTCAGGCAAATACGGATCAGGTTTCTTAGCAAAAAAAATAATAATAATAAACCTTAACAGATTTAACAAAAACAATTGCATGGGGGCTATGTGACAATGCTACAAGCAAGAAAAAGGAAATGCAATGGCATTTTGTGAAAAAGGGCTTACATTTGGACATAGTCTTTGTCTGTGACTTACTTTTGGGACCACCAGGCTCAGCCCAAAATGATAATGGCAAGGAGCATGAGTGGGCAGGCAGTTTATGGGTGAGTCTAAGTGTTGAGCCTTGATATTGTCCGGGTAGCGAGAAGCCATTTGTGTAGATCAGTGTTTCTCAACCTTGGCAACTCTAAGATGTGTGGACTTCAACTCCCAGAATTCCCCAGCCAGCCATGCTGGCTGGGGGATTTTGGGGGGTGGGGACACATCTTATATTTGCCAAGGGTGAGAAAAAAAGATCTACACAAAAAG